TCATAGTGACACTGTGATAAACAGATGTGAACCTTGCCCCATCCTTCCTGTATTATCCTCATGATCTCACGTATGCTCGTGCCCCTTGTTTCAGTCACTGTCAATCCGCTTTGTTGAGGCTCTGATTGTTGTTGTTAGGTGCTGTTGAGTCGAGTGTGACTCAGCCACCCTATGAACAACCGACTTGAGCCTTTTCCTAACCTGTGCCGTCCTTACCTTCTCTGACTCACTGGAGTCCATTGCTGTTTCACTGGGTCAGTCCATCTTGTTTCTGGGCTGTCATTTGCCTTTCTCTTGAAATTTTTGTCACCTTGATCAGATGAGTTTGGAACCTACTTTCTTGGTTTTTAAGATAGTTTATTTCTAAAATATTTGGCAGAATTTCCTGCTCATATACTTGAGCTTGTAGTTCTCTCTTTTGGAAGGCATATTTTCTACTAAATATAATTTAATGGTAAGTGAATAAAGGATCAGGACAAGGCTAGTTCTGAAGAGGCAGAGGTTAAAAATGACTTTTATGTTCAACTTTTCCAAACTTCTGTACGACTTCCATCATTACTAACATTTAACTACTACCCTACTCTTAGTACGCTCCTCCAGTCTTTGGGCTCTACAATGTCTTAGAATTCATAGAACTGTCCTTAGAGTTATGTGGTTTATTAGGGAGGTAACAGGATACAACTTGAGATCAGGAAAAGCTGAAGTATGAGGGACATCTCAGGATACATACAGACTTTGATCAGGATAGCCTGCCTTCTGCCATTGAACACAACTTCGTTCTTGGGCCCCAAGGCAACCACCTTGCTTTGGTCTCCTTGTCCCTGCTGTCTTTCCATGGCCATGCCGTAGGCTTCTGTATTAGAGCCCCTGTCTCTCCCTATGTGTCTCTGAGTGGCAAGTCCCCTTGTTGATGTTCTGTAGAACTTAGTGGTATGATCTCACACCACAGGGTTTCCAGATACCTTATTTGCATTAGTAGCAAAAACTGTCCAATTCCCTTAGTGGGCCACCAGCACCTTATTTGCATAGTCCCACTCAGTCAGTGGACGCCACACAGACTGTCTCCACTACCCTCTGGTATCGAGTGGTTCTGACACATAGTGATCCTCCATCTGGTTTCTGAGGCTTTATAGGAGGAGGCATCCCATTTTTCTCTGGTGAAGCAGTTGGTGGATATGAAAAATTGACCTTTAGGCCAGTGGTACAGCAATTTATAGCCCTGACAACCAGAACCTATGGTTAGACGGGCCAAATTAAGTAATTGACTGCACTGCACTAAATGGATTAAGTTTGTGAAAATTTATAATCCATTTTGGCTAAATTTCAAATTTATATATACTTACACTTTCAGACTAATTGTTATGAAGTTCTTAGTATCTTTTCAAAATATTTACAGTATCTGCAGGTCATTTCCATTTTTTTGTTGTAAATGTAAATTTTTCTCTCAAAATCTATTCAAAAGATGTTCATGATATTGTTTCCAAGGAACAGTTTATTAATTTCATGTACATATTTACTTTCTATTTCATTAATTCCTGTTTTTAAAAATTTCAGCTCTTTAACTTTTGAGTTTAATTTACTCTTCTTAGGATAAATAATCTAGCTCATAAATTTTTACTTTAATTTTTAAAACGTAGGCGTTGACACCTATAGATTTCCCTCTACTGCTTTAGTTGCTCTCATCAGTTTTTCTGTGTAGTATTGTTCAGTTAGGAATATTTTCTAATTTCCATTAAGAATTCCCCTTTGAAAACTTCATATTTTTGTTATTACGTTCTGTTAGGTTGACTGCAACTCATAGCAACTATTTGAACAACAAATCAGATGCTTGTCCCATCCTCTTGATGTCTGATGTGCCCGAGCACGTTGTTAAGGTCACTGTTTCAGGCCATTTTGTTGAGGGTCATCGTTTCTTTCTCTAACCCACCACCATTTACCAGCACGACGCCTTTATCCACAGCTATAAAAAACACCTTGAGGGATGAGTCAGTGGACATAGAGGCTCACTGTGGGCTTGGAGGACACTATGGTCAGTTGGCATAACGTCATCCCCAAAGACATATGTTCTGTATCCTACTTTGCTGAGTTGTGACTGAGGTCTTGAAAACTTGTCACAGCATCCGAAGGTTCAGCCATTAGGTGCTCCCCAGCTGGACCAAAGAAGAGTGAAGATCACAGATACACAGAAACAGCTGACAACTGACTAATGGAGCTTGTGAACCCATCATAACTCTAAGATCAGACAAACTAGGTGGTTTCCAGCTACCACTCCTGACCTCTGAATAAAAATCCCAGTAGACCCTGGGTAGAATGGGGAAAAAATGTAGAGCAAAACTCAAAATCATAAAAAAGGTTAAACTTACTGATCTGGTAGAATTTGATGGAGTCTCTGAAAGACAACTTGAAGTACTTACTTGAAAAATAAAGACTGTGGCCTTCAGTGTGAATTGCATCTTAACATAAAACAATCCTCACAGTTGAGCTAAGCAGTAGCAGCATAGTAAATGGAGAAGGAATTGAAGCTCTCGAAGATTATATAGTTTACTTGGTTCACAGTCAACACCCATGCATGCAGCAATGAAGAAATCAGCTGATAGACTGGGCAAATCTGATGCAAAATCATCTTGAAAGTTTATAAAATTAAAGCCCTGGTTTTTCCCCCTCACCTCAAATGCATGTGAAAGAACACTGAAGAAGAAATGATGGCCTTAAATTGTATTGGTGAAGAATAGTGATGAATCCATGGACTGCCAAAAGAACAAACAAATCTGTCTTGGAAAATTGCAGCCAGAATGTTCCTTAGAACTGAAGATGGAGGGACTTTGTTTCCCATACTTGGTGCATGTTATCAGAAGAAGCCAGTCCTTGAAGAAGGACACCATGCTTAGTAAATCAAGGGTCAGTGAAAGAGATGGTAACTCTTAAAACACTGACTGCAAGCACAGATGTGTGGGTGGCACAGAATTTCACTCCCTTGTATGCAGGCCCTTGTGAGTTGGAACCAACTCCATTGCACCTAACAGCAAACAGTTCTCTAAGCAGTGAGAAAACAGGCCTCAGCGAAATTTGTTTAAGAGCGTAGTCAGCTACGTGATTGAGCCAAGTTTCACAGCCAGACTTGTCTGATACTAGAACTAAAGTCAAGTTGGAACTGACGCAGAGCAGACCCTCCAGCGGGTTTCCAGAGGCAGCGAATCACACAGGAGGGGAATGCCCGTCTTCCTCCTGTGGAGCAGCTGGTGGGCTCGAACCATGTGCGTGCCTTTGGGTAAGCAGCACCTCCCCTGACCACTAAGCCACCAGAGCTCAGGACTAGGCTAGGCAACACTTAGTGCTTCCTGGGTTTTTACACTTTTACATGTATTAATTAAACTTCAGATCATTCCTATGAGAGATGTTTCTATCAATATTTCCATTTTACCGATGATGACATGGAAGTACAGGCGATGAAGATGCTCAATTTCACACAGCCAGTATATGGTAGTGCCGGGTTGTGAACCCAGGCATTCGGACTACAGGGTTCATGTTTCCTACCACTGCTCTGTACCTTTTTTGCCTTGCCCCGGTTGATGTTCTTTTTACTATTTAGGATCAGGAACTTAATTTTCTTAAGCTATTGTTAGATGGATCTTGGCTGAAAGCAAGGAATACCAGAAGAGAATGTCTATCTGTGTTTCATTGATTATGCAAAGGCATTTGACTGTGTGGATCATAACAAACTGTGGCTGACTCTGAGAAGAATGGGAATCCCAGAACATTTAATTGTGCTAATGCGAAACCTATACTTGGACCAAGAGGCAGTAGTCAGAACAGAGCAGGGTAACACTGCATGGTTCAAAATTGGGAAGGGTGTACGCCAGGGATGCATCCTGTCTCCATACCTTTTCAACATGTATGCAGAGCAGATTATCCGAGAGGCTGGGCTCTATGAGGAGAATTGTGGCATCAGGATTGGTGGAAGATCTGTTAGCAATCTGCGTTATGCAGATGACACAACCCTGCTTGCTGAAACTGAGAAGGACCTCATGCACTTGCTGTGGAGGGTCAAGGACTGCAGCCTTCAGTATGGACTGAGGCTTAATGTCAAGAAGACAAAGATTCTCACCGCTGGACCAATTGGCAGCGTCAGGATGGGATGGCGAAGAGATTGAGATTGTTCACAGCTTCAGTTTGCTTGGCTCCACAGTCAACACTCTTGGCACCAGCAGTCAGGAAATCAAAAAGCGTATCGCGATGGGAAAGTCTGCTGTTAGGGACCTCTCTAAAGTACTCAAGAGCAACAGTGTCTCTCTGGAGACTAAGGTGTGCCTGATACAGGCCATGGTCTTTGCAATTGCTTGTTATGCATCAGAGAGTTGGACAATGACTAGGGAGAACAGAAGGAGAGTTGATGCCTTTGAGCTGTGGTGCTGGAGAAGAGTACTGAATGTACCATGGACTGCCAGGAAAACAAACAGATTCATCTTGGAGAGGATTAAACCAAGCTACTCCTTGGAGGCAAGGATTCTGGGGCTTCGTCTGACATACTTTGGACATGTTGCCAGGAGGGACTGGTCCTTGGAGAGGGACATCATGCTTGGGAGGGTGGAGGGACGGTGCAGGAGGGGAAGACTTTCTATGAGATGGATTGATTTGGTGACTGGGGTAATCGGGATGGGTGTGTCAGAGGCAGTGCGGTTGGCGCAGGATAGAGCAGGGTTTAGGGCTGTTGTGCATAGGGTCGATATGAGTCGCAAATGACTCCACGGCACATAACAACAACAACAACGTTATATGCTATTGTTTGACACAGTGGCTGTAACAGTGGTCTCCAATACAGCAGAGACTGAGAAGATGGTGCGGGATGTGGCAATGTTTTATTCTGTTCTATGTAAGACCTTGGGGAGGTGGAAATGATTCAACGGCACCAACAATAACAAATGATTACAAAATTGGGGCATTGCTTCTGGGGAGCTGGAAGTGACTCCGTGTCTTTGACTTCTTTCCCAGTTCCGTTACGCATGCAGGGCAGTACAAGAAGAATGGGTGTCATGACTGATGTCCACCGGCGATTCCTGCAGTTGCTGATGACTCATGGAGTGCTGGAGGAACGGGAGGTCAAGCGCTTGCAGAGGCACTGCTATAGGGTCCATGACCGTAAGTATCGTTCACCTCTTCCCGGCGCTGCGTGGTGCTGTCCTGACCAGGCACTAGCAACCCTTAGATAACGTCTTTTAACCTGTTGATATTCCTAATGTGGATGTTGAGCCTGGAGGCCTGGGGTTTGATTTCACCAGCAGCTCTGCAGGAGAAAGAAGGGCAGTCTCTTCCCGTGTGATTTACTGCCTCTAAAAACCCACAGGAGGGTCAGCTGTGGGTTGGTTCCAATGTTATGGTATATAACAACCTCATCTTCCTCACCATAAAGCCTATCCTTTTAAAAAGTAAACTTTTCATTTATTTATCAGAGTCATTAAGAACCTGGACTCCGGGGCTGTATAGTTGTGGTCATACGAAGGCGTCAGTTCCTGCTCCATCCTGTATCCTCATCTCTAAGATGGGGCTAATGATCATAGAGGACACATGGGTCATTTGGAAGATTAAGAGGTGTAGTTTATACAGGAAGGCTGGCACAGGGACAGTGCTTAGTTGGGCTGTTGAAAGTAAGAGGGTAGGGATACAGCCTTGAACCAGGCAGCTCTTGGCGAGGGTGCCAGCCCTGCTCCATGCCAGCTGTGGGCGTTTGCTGTATCCTGTTGGGAGCAGTAACTTAGATAATATGTGTGCAGCACTAAGAGGCAGGGCTGGGCTGCACTGCAATCCCAGATGTGAGCAGTTCGAATCCACCACGTGCTCTGCTGGAGAAGGAGGGACAGTCTCCTCCTGTACCAGTCAAATCTGATTTGACGGTACAAACACAAAACAAAAATTAAAAAAAAATAAAATAAAGAGGCAGGGCCTGGTGTATACTAATCTGTCAGTTACAAGAGCTGTCAACAGAGCAGTAGCATCAAGGTTGATAGAACAGTACAATCGTTATGGACAGAACTCAGAAGGATAGTGTTGAGAGAAAAGGGAAGTTGCTACGTTCTGTTTATTTTGATGGGATTTTTTTTTTTGGATGGGATTTTGATTGATGTGATTTTGTTAATGTTTTGTGATGTACAAGATGATTTTCATTGCTTATTAATGCATTTGTATGCATGCAGTTGTGTGAAAGTGGACTGAAAGGACACGCAGTGCACTCGGCCGGGTGCATACCTTTGGAATAGGAGTGGGAATGGGGTGTCATAGAAATCAAAGCACTTCATTTCATCCTGCTTTGTCCTTGTATTGAAAATGAGAATGCTTAAAGCAAAATGCTATTGGCTACCACTTCTGATTATTGGGAATACAGGTGCTTGTTTTTTATTCTGTAGTTTAAAATTTTTCTATATATTTCATTGTTCAAAAGGAAAATGGGGAAAAAATAGAAAAAAATTGGGTTAATCCAAGATGGTTAGAGGAAGGCTGTTTAAGGAGAGAAGCCCAGAGTGTACAAGAGAAAGGGCAGACAGCACACCCATGGTTAGAGACCCGCAGAGTCTGCAGCCCGACAGAGGCAGAAACCAGGTGCCCGAGAGCTGAAGGGTAACTGGGCGTAAGAAAGAGGAGTCAATGAGCAATGAGTAAAGACCAAGTTTTTAGGTGTGTCACAGAGTGAAAGAGGGTGAACTGTTGGAGGACACAGTGTGTGAAGTGATAGGACAGTAGTGAGGTGGTCTTTAGACTAATGACCAAGGAGGATAGAAGGAGAATTGATGCCTTTGAGCTGTAGTGCTGGAGAAGAGTATTGAGAGTACCATGGACTGCTAGGAAAACAAGCAGATTCATCCTGGAAAGGGTTAAACCGGGTGGCTCCTTGGAGGCAAGGATTCTGAGGCTCTGTCTAACATACTTTGGACATGTTGGGAAGAGTGACGGTCCTTTGATAGGGACATCATGCTTGAGAGGGTGAAGAGACAGCGCAGGGGGGGAAAACCCTCTATGATGGATTGATAGTCAGTGACTGGGATAATCGGGATGGGAGAGTCAGAGACAGTGCAATTGGCATAGGACAGAGCAGAGTTTAGGGCTGTTGTACATAGGGTCACTATGAGTCACAAGTGACTCAACTGCACACAACAACAACAACAACAACAACAACAACAACAACAACAACATCTTCAGACTCGTTTAAGATGTTTCCATAGGGAATTTTGGGGAGCTTTGTGACCTGGTTTGGCAAATTAAAGAATTGGATTGGTCCTATTGTAAGGACCAATTAACTAGGGTTAATTCTGTAGCCATTGACAAGAATATATGTTCAGTGAACAGAGACTAAATTCTCTTGTTGTGTAGGTTTACAGATCACAAAGAATGTTGTGTACCGTCAAATCTGAACCTTCTCATAGATGACCCTCCAGTGGGTTTTCAAAGGCTATAAATCACATGGGAGGAGGAGATTGCCCATCTCTCTCCCTCAGAGCAGCTGATGGATTCGTACTGCCTGCATTTGTGTTGGCATTGCGATTCCTTACTCACTAGGCCACCAGAGCTCCCTCGTACACCATAGTAACTGTAGTTTTCTTCATCTTGCAGAGAGTGCAGATCTCCTGAGGGATTTAAATTAGAAAAATTACTTAATTAGTGCTATAGTTAAAGCTACCTCTCTGGTGAAAAGAAATCTGCTATAATTGCCTGAACTGTGGTGGATAGGGAGACCTGTGATCCTCTGTGAGGTGCTCCTTTATGGAAATAGAATAGTATGTGTCAAGCTAGTTTCGCTTGTTATTTCAGGCATACAACAGGACTTTGAGTCTGCCTTTTAAATCCTCCAGAGAAGGACATAAGAATGCTTACCTTAATCTTGTAAATACATGACAACTCTGTCTTTCTTCTAGTCCTTCCCTTTTAGCTTCTCATATAACTCCTGAGTATGAATTTTAATGTTATAGGGAAGCTTCACAATTCACAGCAAAGAGCCAGGTGATGCCTGAGACTTGGAATGAAAGTGATTTTTGCCTTTATTTGAAATATATTCTCTTTTATTTAAAATAGTTATGGTCTAATTTAGGAAAGCCCTGTACACTGTGTCTAGGAATTGATCTATTCTTCACACTTTTTATATTGTTTCTGTGCCTCAAAATATGCTTATGGACCGAGAGCTCCTTGGAGGCAAAGATGATAAAGCTTCTTCTCACATACTTTGGGCATATTGCTAGGAGAGGCTATTCTTTGGAGAAGGACATCATACTTGGAAAGGTGGAGAAGAGGGTGAAGGGAGAGGAAGACCTTCACCCAGGTAGATTGACACAGTGACTACAGCAATGGACTTGCGTGTGTCAGAGATTGTGAGGATGGCACAGGACAGGACAGGGTTCAGATCTGCTTGTTCATAGGATTACTCTGAGTCATGCGTGACTTAGTGGTACCTAACAACAATAACAAAGGGCATATGTAGGAACTCTAGTAGTGTGATGATAAAGTGTCTAGCTGCTAACAGAAAGATCGGCAGTTTGAGCTATCTTGAATCCACCAGCTGTTCTCTAGGAGAAAGATGTGAGCTTCTGTTCTGTAAAGATTACAGCCTTGTAAAGTTCTATAGGACAGTTCTCCTCTGTCCTACAGGGTTGCTGTGTTAGAATTGATGTGAGGACAATCAGTTAGATTTTTTTTTAGGGTGTCAAAGAGCACATCGTGGGGTCTGCTTAAGGTAAAAGCAAAAGAGGTTTACTGGAAGATAGAGACAGTCTGGACTGGAAACTGACCATGTTTCCTGCTAGATGATGAAGGATCTGGTTTTATGATAGGAGCAGGAACCAAGTTAAAAATTCATACATGGCCAAAAGCCATTCAGGGTTGTCAAAGGCAGGAGACTAGAATCTGGAACCCAGCAGGGAAAGGTGAAGAACACCTGAGTGGGCTTACCTGACTGGTTAAAGGTATGCGCTGTGCACTTTATTATTGGATGGTTCCGGGACGGTGCAGAATGGTTTTCTGGTAACTTACTAGTGAAATTCAGTTCCCTCCTGGGAAGATTTGCCGTCTTGGGAATCAAATGGAGGGTCATGTGAGTTGGAATGGACACGACAGCAGTGGACTGGGTTTGGGTTTATTGGTAAATTTGTATACCTGTTTCTGGAAGTCTTCTCTAAAGATTGTTGATAATCATGTGCATCAAAATCCTTTGGACAAATAAAATCATAAAGATGACCTGACTTGCTGTTCTGCTAAGGGACTGGTGGAACCCCTGAGACCGTGTCCCTTAGTCACCCTTCAAGCGACTTAGACTTCCCTTCCCACCCTGTGACTTAGCTTTTAGCCAAATGGACGATAGCCCTCTAAGGTGAACAGTAATACCAGGAAGGTGCTCACTCCCTAGACCAAACACACGAGACAGAAAGGACAGCATTTATTCAGGGACAAAGATCAGATGGGAGGAAAAAATAGTATTGAAGGATGAATGAAAATGAGAATCACCGAGTGGGAGAAGGTAGATGCTGTTACAAGCTAGAAAATAAAGTTTGCATGAGTGAGTGAGTGGGAAATAATTTACACCTGTAGCACGATAAAAGGTTGGCTGTTTTTGGGTTTTTTGGTAAAGATCCTTGTGGCACAAGCTGTCACATCTTGCATCTGTTTGACTATAGTGGAAAACTCCTTTGGTATAGTTGGTGATATCCTGCACCTATCAGACCTTTGAGAAAACGAATGTCCTCTTTAGAGTATGTGGTTACATGAGCATCAAGGTTAAAGGAACTGTTAGAAAATTCAGGTTTAAAATTGAGCATGGATTCCAGACTCATGTCAAGACTTTAGACTGAAATTTAGGCTCTGCTCTTAGATTGCCCTCTCACATACACCAAGTGCCTCTGGTTTATACCCTTATATAGGGGTGTATGGTATAACTGCAGCTAGTCTCCTCCTACCCTTCACTAAAGAATAAGAAACAAGAGCCTTGTTCTCAAGCATTATTGTTATTATAAAAGTTGTAAACCAAGGAATGAGGGGCATAGAGAATCTAAGGTCTAAATGGGTAGAAAATCCATGTTCAATGTACATTTTGAAGAGATACCCAGGAAAGTCCCCTTTTACTAACTGGAAAGATATTTAACTTCGAATAGACTTCTGAAACA